AAAGTAGTGGAATAGGAAAATCAGCAAACGCTTCCAGAAGCAGCTATGTTTAATGTGAGTCTTGAAGGATGAGCAGGGCACCAGACAGGAAAACAAAAAGAATAGACATTTCAAGATTGTCCACAACATAAGGCAGTGGTAGTGTAAAGTCGTGTAATATTTCCAAAAAACGATAAGACATATGGTGACTTTGGCATATAGGTATGTGTGTGTGTGAGTGGGAGATGAGATCAGAAGGAGAGATGGAACAGATTACAAAACGTCATGTACCACAAATTAGATTCTTTCCAGTAGTCGAAGAGAACTTCGGAGTGAGAGGACCAGACATGAGGTTTGCACACGGACCCTGTCCATAGAGAATGTAGCATGCAGAAAGATTAAAATCCAAGAGGAAAGGAACCATAGCAGCGATTCTGACAAGAGATAATGATGCTCTGCCTAAGTAATGATGGCAATGGACAAGAAATGCAATGAAGACCTTCAGACGTTCTCAAGTAAAATTAATTGTGATAATTAATTACTTGTAGGAAGTGAAGGGAGAAAGAATATTTGAGCCTAAGAATCCCTCTCAGAATGGTGGCTTGGAGGATTTGGGGATGGGTGGGTAGGGGCTTTAGATCAAACCAGGGACCCAGATGCTCCGTCTTGCATGCTTAAACCATCCCTTGAGCTGCTGTGTGGAGAAAAATGGGCAAAGATGGAAGTCGGGAGCAGCTGTTTGAGCAAGAAACCCTCACTCTAATAATTTGCACTAGAATGGGGACAGTGATGGGTTCTGGATGTCCTTGAAGTCAGATCCAAGATCACTGATAGATTGATTGTACTTAGGCAAGAAAGAGAAAGATCAGAAAAAATTACTCCAGTCCTGTACTTTTTCCTCCCCACTTGGGTAAAAGTAGAATGCTGAACATTGCAGGTGGGGCAGGTTTGGGAGATCTATAGTTCTGGCTGTACATTTCGAATATCGGAACAGAGAGGTTGAAAAGTTTTGAATTTAGCGGTAAAGTTCGAGGGCAGCGATTTCGGCGTTAACTATGAGTGGTCCTACATGAACTCAAAGCCACGGGACTAGACAGTGGCCTCCCACCTCCAGCCTCTGTGCAACGAAGACCAGTGGTGAGCGTCTCCTCGCGCACCGCCAGTGAGCTTTCCAGCACGGCGCTCTTAAATAGGGACAAACAGGCGCACGTAGACAGAAGCTGGAGGAAACCCCGCAGATGAGCGTTAGAGACCCAGACAAACCGCCTGTGAGCAGAGTGTGACGGAAGCCAGAAACTCCAAAGAAGAAAGAAAAAGGAAGCTGCAACGAGCAAGCAGAGGACCCTTGGGAAGTGACACGAGCGATAACTGGAATAGGCCAAGCCAGGGCTAGCATCTTGGAGCAGAGCATGCATGCTGCTCCTCTCTCAGAATGACTGGAGACCAGAAAGTGGACCCTGATGCCCAAGAAAAGCAGAATTCCATCCAGCACTTGCTGACCGAGGATGAGCTGGGGCCCCAGAGTTGGGAGACGCCGTTGCCCGGCTCAGGAAGGTCCTGGAGTACAGTGTCCTCGGAGGCAAGTACACCGAGCTTTAACGGTGGCGGCTGTGTCCCCGGAGCTGGTGGAGCCCAGGAAGCAGGATGCTGACAGTCTGCAGTGGGCCCCGACTGCGGGCTGGTGTGTCAAGTTGCTCCAAACTTTCCTCCTGATACCGGATGCCAGAATGGATTCCTCCCTCACCTGCCAGTGGCAGCCCTGCTGGTAACAGAAGTCAGGCATAGGTCTAGATGCCATCAATGATACCAGGCTGCTGGAATCCTATGTCTACCACCTGCTGAAGCTCCACTGCCTGGGGGCAGCCCTGCTACCTGAACCTGCTAGAGCTCTCCCTGGAGAGTTCCTATCAGGCTGAGATAGGACAGGCCCCGGGCCTCATCACCAACCCCCAGGGGAACATGAATCTCAGCAGGATTACCCCAAAGAGGTACAAATCCATGTCAAGTACAAGACCATGTTCTACTCCTTTTACCACCTCGTCGCTGTTGCCATGTATATGGCGGGCATTGACGGGGATAAGGAGAATGCCGATGCCAAGCGGATCCTGCTGGAGATGGGTGAGTGCTTTCAGATCCAGAATGATTCCCTGGACCTCTTTGGTGACCCCTGTATGATGGGCAAGGTTGGCACTGACATCCAGAACAACAAATGCACCTGGCTGGTGGTTCAGTGCCTTCAGCGGGCCTCTCCAGCG